ATTTTACACTTTAGACAAATTTATTTTATAATTCGCATACAATTTAGAACAGAATTTTATTTATAATTTTATATATGCTATGTAATTTAATATATACTTATTTATACATTTTAATATTTTATACATACGTAATTCTTCAAATGTTCCACCTTATATGGCATATAAAATTAAAGAAAATTTTATCTCCAATTTCGACATGAATTTCAGAACGTCTAAAATCTGTATCAGACTAGGAGAAACCGGGGACAAAAGACTTTTTGACTTTAAAATGTTATAACAGTTCAAATATAATTACATTTAAAAAAAATATATTTTTAGATATAGAATTTATTTAGCTACAAAATTATCTTAGTTTAATTTTTTTATGTAACTAGAAAAAAGTTATGTTTGCTTAAAGACTATGAGGAATTTTGTTACAACCGTCCCAATCTTATGGATGATTGTAACAGTAGAGAGGGATAAGTATTGCCACATTTACCAGAGATACATAATACAACTACATACATACGTCATACTCTTTCTTGCAGCTGCATGAATGGATAACTGGTCCTTTATAACTTCTTTAAATGTCTGTTTGTATAAAGACATTTCTTGTATATAATTTTTCTCTCTCATCTGTCTTGCATTTTCTTGTTAACAGCATTCTATGAAGAAAAATATAAATAACATTGTACAAAATAATATTAAAATAAAATCAAGTAAGTTCGGGGACAATTGTAATGTTACAACTGATCCCAAGGATCGATGTAACTATTGTCCCCTAACAGTATTTTATGATTTATAGTAAATTTTTTGAATAAAAACCTAGACAAAAATTAATTCAAATGTGTAAACCATCAACACAGATAATCAATAAAACATATTAAAATAATACATTATATCTTCGTTATAAAGAAAAAAAATATTTTAGATTTTATGCACGCAATAAAACTTACTAGATGCATGAAAAAAGTAATTTCTGCTCCTGCACTCGTGCACGTTCCGCGAGAACCAACATGTAACGAACGATTTAATGCCGATCTGTCTACAGAATTTTACCATGCATCTGCATATACATATCTATTATAGTTTAAGAAATATTAACGATGTTACTATTGTTCTCTTGTTACTTTTGTCTCCGGTCTCCCCTATCAAAAATTAAAAAAAAAATAGACATTAGAATTCAAATAATCAGAACAAAATAAATTAAGATTAAAATTATTTAATTGGTCGAATTCTACTCTTTAATTTTATAATCCTACATCTCAATGTATTGTCTAATATGCGTAGTCTTAAAGTCTGAATTCAAGAAATAATTTTAATCTGCAGTTATAGGCAACAAATTAGATGCAGCGATGTTCAGCCTCATTTTGCGTTGCTTGGATCAACAATTTTGTACGCCGAAAGACACGGAATTGCTCACGAATCTGTTATACTCTCTGAGCCGATTGAGTCGGTTCTCCATTATCAGTATGTTCATGGATTCTGGGGATAAAAAAGGTAATGTAGAAATAATGACATTACAATGGCATTTCCTATTGTCATTTTTTATCAAATTAAACGCGAGACAACTTATTTTTACGAATCCAACTAAATTCCTACGATTTGGATAAACCTCTAACTTAATCGATGATTAACTTAATTAACTGTCAGAATTACTAACTTAAAGCAAAATTTCTGAATATATAATTCTTGCTCCTAATTTAATCTTTTTTCCATTTGTTAAACAATAAAAGTTAATAATTTTTAACAAAATTAATCATATCAATCATAATTTGATCAGAATAATTTTTAAAAGTATATGTATATATTTAACTCTTCGTCGGCAAATCTCTTTTTTTTTAGTACACACATTTTTTTTATTGTTCTAAGCTTTAAAAAAATGTGGAAAAATTCAAGATTACTTTTTAATATCTCTTTTAAATTACGAAATATTTTTTTTTAATCAAACGTTAAAATCTTTATTTAATCCGTCCTTCATTTCGGAGAAATTGGAAAATGAAATTTCGTCAAAAAAATTGTAAATGGAAGCTTAAATATGACACGTCTATTTAAATAGTCACATAAATGTCAGTTTTTAAATAGACATATTCAGATATATGTATTTATGTTAATACTATGATATAAGTATCTGAATAAATTTGCGTTCATTTTACAGCCCTGGGAAATATATTACGTTTCCTAGAAAAGGAGAATTCACCCAAGGTCTCGCAATTACGTCAGATCTATGTTACTTGAAGACCGCATTAGCGTCATCGAATACCTATATGAATACACGTTAATCTCGAATAATTTAATTATTTAACAAAAAGGACGGAATGCAAATTTAATACATTGCAAACAGGAATACGTTCCGTTTCATGCATGATACGCATTATATATCACTTTATTTTTGTTGTTCACTGAATATTAAAAAGAATAAAATGATATATCATAAAACGGAGCGCACCCCAGAAATGTAAATGTAGAATACTCACAATGAGCAGAATATCTCGGTAGGCGACAAGCGGCAATTTTCCGCACAATTATGTTAAATCTATTACTTGAAAACTGCGTTAAAGTTATCGAATATCTACATATATGTACATATACATTAACTCTGAATAATTTGATTTTAACAAAAAAAAAAGACAAAATGTGCAAATTTGATACATTAGTTGCTTTCCATTTATACCAATTCTCAGATAATTCTCACTTGTGTCGTCATAACTCAGTTGAATGCGCATTCCTTTTACATTCTGACAAATGAGATTCAACTGAATTTTTACTTATAATCTGCCTATAAGGCCCAGTTTCACAACTGATATGTTACTTAACTCTTTACTGATTCTACAATGAGTCGGTAGTTGGTAGTCCTAAGTCCTTATCAGTGAAGTTGACCAATAGACAATTGTACAACCGACATTGATTGGTCAACTTCATCAATTGAGATTAAGACTTCAGACTAGTCTTATTATAGAATCAGCATTAACCGAGGTTCAATTTATTCATTGGCCTGTATTCAGAACGCATTTACAATGATGTTAGCGCGCTAACATGCTATAATTTACGTTACACATACTATAGAATTTTAGAGATAAAAGCGCGCTTTTATCAAGAAAAGCGCGTTCTGAATACGAGCCATTATCTCTTAGGCCCAGTTTCACAATTCATGGTTAACTCTTAACCGAGGTTTAACTTATTCCTTATATCTTTCTAATGCTAGAATTGGAAAGACATGAGAAATAAGTTTAACCTCGGTTAAGAGTTAACCAGGGGCGCGATTCCGTAACTATATACGCCTACCGACAGTTATCGATGTCGTTGCGTTTATATGGTGAAAAAGCTGCGCAATGACATCGACAACTGTCGGTAGGCGTGTAAACAGTTAGGAAATCGCGCCCCAGGAAGAAAGAGAAGGAGACTTTACTTACATAAATAAAAGTGGACCGATTTTGTGTTTTGAGTTAAGTTTCGATTCTCGACACTCGCGGCGCTTGTAAATTTTATAGTCCTACGCATAATGAGTGCGCCGTAGAAAAAAATGTCACGGACGTAACTTAATCCCGGCGATTTAGTCTGCGATTAGTCTTTGTCAGGAAGAAAGATTAACCGCAGACAAAAGATCTGTTTTCTGCTAGCTGAACTAGTGTACACTTTTAGAACTTAAAATGAGATAGATATACGTTTAATTTGTCAAAAGCGGCAAAGAGAGTTCTAGAGCAGTCTAGTGCAAGAACAAAAAATAGACCAAAAATCGCTTTTACGGGATTAAATTACGTTCGTGACATTGTTTTTTACGGCGCACTCATTTTTTCCTATGATGCACTCATACGCAGGACTACAAAGTTTACAAGCGCCGCAAATGTCAAGAATCAAAACTTAACTCGGAACACAAAATCGGTCCATATTTTGACGACTGGCTAGACGAGTGGAGACTCCTTTAGGCCCTCCGCACAATAACAGGAATAAGGAATTAGGAATAAAGAATAAACGATTTTAGCCTATCAGAAATCGGATACATCAGAATACACGTTTCTGATAGATTGAAATCGTTTGTCCCTTATTCCTTCTATTGTGTGCAGGGCCTTACACCCGTATTCATAGTCAGGTCTTATATTTAAGACCTTAAGGCTTCCTTAAATTTATCTTCAGATACTCTACGAATTATTTCAT